ATTTATAAATATATACGCATATGACGTTCCATGCTGCGAATTCAATGTGTTTACTCACCGCTATCTTTGTATCTAACAGACGCAAACTTGTCCAAACTGGAGTCCAGTCGGGGATCAGACAGAGGGGCGATGTACTGGGTGTCCGTGACGTAACTCGGGTACGGTCCTGTATTTATATATCCTAGATAATGTACACATGGGAAACATTAAAAATATAATTTCATCATTCATAAATGAAGATATTTGTAGTACACACTTAAACACTGTGTTATGTATAGATCACAACAAAACAATAGAATACAGATAACGTTGCATATATTGTCAAGTAACTACAACTAAGTAACTGCAACTGGCGGCATGCTGTTCACATGCATACTGGTGCGTTGGGCTGAGCTCATACACTGTCGTGTACCAAGTAGGAGACGACTGAAAAAGAAATCGAGTTTGTTTAAACAAAAAAATTTAATTATTATTTAATCAAAATTAAATGATAATTTAAATAATTTTAATGATTTAAATGATTAAACTGATTTAAGTAATCAAAATTAAATAATAATTTAAATTATTTAAATTATTATTTAATTTTAATTTTTATCTTCATTATTTTTTGTTATGTTTCATTAAAATTACAACCAAAACAAATGTGAAACATAAATTCCACGACCTTATACCTTCGCAGATGATGTTATCATTTACGCCATACAAATTGTGAATGTTTCACAAATTAGTTATATAATTCAGATATCATTTGAATGAATTATATCAGTTGATCATATTCTCTACCGAAGGACAGCCTTATCTTAACGAAGAAAGGTATTCTAGCATTTCCCCATATATTATGCAAATGATGTATTGATTTGAGTAAGTCATGTTCACCTTCAGTCAACTTCCGAATGCGGTGTGAAATTCTCAGCAGTTATCATTATGGATTCATAGCACTTTATGATGAATTATGCAATTAAAAAAGGTTGGTAAAGAAATTCTGTTCCTGTAGCTACGTTTATACTAACATAGAGGGATATTCTTTATTCCCATACACTGTGGTTTGACTTCACAATTGCATATATTTCATGAAAGAGACGGTCTGTAGACTTGAGAGTGTGTAGAATCGAGTTAAGACCCAAAATATTAACTATGTGTGCCCACTTACATAGGAATCAAAGGAAGAGTCTATTCTTGAATAAGGGAGACAATTTTGCACAGGGGCCAATGATGAAAAATTTCATTTTTTAGTGGATTTTTTTCGGAATGGGCTCATGGGGTCACTGGATGTTCATTGTTCTTTTTTTTCTATTCAATCGTGGGATGCGGTGATTATGAAAAAAGTAATTTTGTTTTGAACTGTTTTGGACTGATCCATTTCATATGGGTTGCATCTGGAATAGTCTATTCTTGGATAGAGGGGAAAGTTTACATTTTTCATAATTTTCGTCAAATTGTGAAGGCTTTAAATCAGACTGGGACACCTGGGAAATGTAGTTGACTTTGGGCAAAAAATTATTTTAATATGTTCCACTTTTTCACATGGGTTAGTTTACAAAAATCGAATTTCGAATGGGGAAAGAGATGGTGTGAACTATGCTATATTTGCTCTCGAACAAATATTGGCGTTTTAAGCGTGCAAGTAACTTTCTGCTTTTATTTATGGCAACAGACACTACTTTTAATAACGTTAACCCCCGGGACACGGGTGTTGTTAAGAGGCTGGTTAGTTCGGCGTCAGCAGGAAGCAGCGATTGCCTCATCAGTGTGTCAGCATGTGGGGTATGGAAAGTAGATTATGAAAGTGTGAAGTAATTAATGTCATGGTATTCCCTTGTTAGATTTAGTTTGTTGCATTGTAGCCTGGGAAGGAGAAAATGAGGTCAGCTTCACGAGTGGGGAGGGAGAGTGTTAATATCGTATCGGCAGTATGTATGTATGTTGGAAAGCTGTTGGAAAAATGTGCCTTTGTTGTTTATAATTATAATTAATAATTAGTTGTCATAAATTAAACATAGAAATAGGTCGAAACAAGACAAGACCACATCACTAAAGGTCCATTTTGTCCAAATATGATTGAAAATGAGAACCATTTTATAATGGAGTGTACACTATACACTGATAAGCGCCTATTGCTGTTCACCTTTCTTTCCGCTTGCTCAATTGATTTCGATACGTTACATCCTATAGATAAATGCAACTAGATAACCAATAGTGTTCAAATAGGAAAATACATTAAAGAATGTTTCGATTTTAGAGAGCACATTTAAGAGAATAGTTAACCTTTATTGTTACATCATACATATACTCTGTACGTCAGATGACGTTATCCACATATGTATTTAGCTTTAGTAGATCTTTAGTTGTAGAAGACCATACAAAAGTCCCTGTACTTTTTGTTGTGTCAATAAGGAATCATCTATTATGTCGTTTTCATGTTTTGTCTGACCCAGATGTTGACAGTTGCACCAACATAATTCTTATGCAACGTCTATCTAGCTATGTCTGTGGGTCCTCTTCTTCGACTCAGTTCTATTTTATTAAAATCCATGCGAATTTGTTGAGTGTTTGTTGATTTATGTATTTCTGGTTTATTTCAACAGGGTAGAAATCTCTAACTCATTGCTATTTAAAAATACTGCTTTTCAGGAATGCCCTGTAATAACAAGTAAAACATGAAAACAATGAAATCGACAAATTAACAATACATAACGTTACAAAGAACCAAGCGTCAAAATGAAATCGTTTACCGTAAATCAATGTCGTTAAGCCAGGTTTGACATTTCAGATTTCTTGTTAGTGTGGAGGTCATCTGAACCTCCTGGCAGAATACAGCAGGGGAGTGTACATGGGTTTATTGAGCACGTCGGCAGAACGTACTGCGCCTGCGCCTCACGGTATTCGTTGGATTTTTGGTCAACGTTGCATTAGAATTTTGCTTGTTGCAGACGATATTTTTTCGACATTACAACTACGCGCGAAATACATTACGGATTTCGCGCAGGTGCAGTACGTTCTGCCGACGTGCTGGTTTATTGTTATTGCTTTTTCTTTACTCAGATTTAAACTCACTTACTCAGTTTAAGACACCCATACGCAAAACAGACAACCTGGTCATTTGATGCCGGAAAAAGTGTTTTAGAATTGCAACTCCAAAGAGCATCGCTAGGTGCACTTTTGTATTGATTACACTAGTTTTGGCCAATCGAATGCCGCTTTTTTTAAGTGCGTCACCGTTCCACGTATGACCATCACGGAATAGACCTTTCTCGTGTTAACAACACCATAATGGTACTCTCTATTCTTCAGAGCAATCACAGCCAGATGAAACATATTATTTCGCAACCAACCATCGGGCAACCATTGGACAAAACTGGAGCTCTTAAGACGTTCTGGGTTGTACTTGGTTATTTTTTTCTGGATACTTGCTTGTCAATTCATATTCTTTGTATTCCCCTTGCGGCGCTATTACGAATTCTAGGGGTTATGAAAAATTTAACCTGTTCTCCAACTCAACAGTTTAAATTTTTCATAAATCTAGGGGTTATCTTAAAAACAAGTAATGTGTGAGCTGATGGGTATTCATTCAAAAGAAATCAAATTTTCCTCTTGCTTTGAGCAAAATATGACCAGAATCTTGAACAATTATCCACTCTTTCTATCATTCCCACTAACACATGGGTTTGTATGGAGGGGCAATACTCAGGTACTAGTTATCAATAGGTCAATTCATGCTTAATCTGTGACTACAATTTACAAATCTGTTTGATTTAGTATCAAGAAAAATGTGGTCTTTAAAAATAACACTACAGCACTGGTCTCTTAAGTTTGCCTTTATATTAAGGGCGCATGTGGGAATATTAAGATATAAAAACTCACCTCTGGTTGAAATTGATATGTTCCTGATGAAGTGTCCGTAAAACTTGAAGTCAAACGACAAACTCACCGGCTGTAAAAAGAAGAAAATATTAACTAGAAAGGAAACATTTGAAAAGCAAATGCATAATGTTTACCTTCGCACGTGGTCTGCTCTGTTAATTCTTACTCAAATACATTCATACATATATGGTCAGACAGGAGTTTAAATCCCTCCTGCTATGAAATTGCAACATAATGTAACCCAATACTAGCTTCCATGGCAACAGACACAACATTAGTTCAGGTCAGAGGTCACTGTTTGGAGAAGAAGAAGAGGAAGAAGAAACTGAGCAAAAACAATATGTTTTCCTTCGGTAAACATAAATAGCAAATACTGCGTTGCTTCGGAAATATGAAAAAGAAAAGCTGCTACCATAAACCCTGCGGGTGATATTGAGACGCCATCGCGCAGACGTGATGTGGTTAACACCGGCGCCATGTCTTATATTGATTTCCGACCAAAAATACAATCAGCCGAAGCTTTTATTCCATTGTTCTGGATAGAAGTTATCGATTCCTCTTCAATTTCCTCAACAGAGCCACACTCGATCAACGGACGCCCAGGCATGCATTGGGTACTGGATATTGTCTATCGGTTTTACTTATCTGATTGCTGTTATAATAAAGTGTTTTAAATATACATCGTATTAGACAAATTGCTTTCTTACCTTACATGTGATCAAATACAGTATCAAATCACCAGGACGCATTAGATAGGAAATTTAATCATGAAGCCTTGAACATTTATTTTCCTTCGTTATAGATCGTTGGTTGCTCGTCTGTCTTCGGGACCTTCGACTCTTCATCTTTGTTATACGATTTTATCATATATGGTTGTGCGTGTCGGTCGTATCTATTGGATATACCAAGTATTGGGTTGATATTAGTAAGGAGATAGAGACATTAGTTACGTTTGCATGCCCTCAGACCGTCAATCTTTCGTAGTTCGTAAGTAAGACGTTTTAAAATGATTTGTAATAAATACGTTAATCTAGACATAAAATATCTATTTTTTATTTTATCATTTCTGGATTGTCACAAAACGTAAACTAAAAAAAAACAACACAATATTGCCAGAGATAAACATAGGTTTGTTTGCATTTTAAGTCAATTCCCGAGCTTCTTGAAGCAGCCCCACCTAGCGACACCCTTACAAACTACAGGAAATGTTGCACGACATCCGTATGGTTCAGTAGGGTCAAACACTAGTCTGCGTCAAGGAATGAAGCCACCGTTTCTATGACATCATTTCATGCAGATTGTAAATACGTGACTCCAGGCTCAGTGGGCACAATACACGTGATTTTTTCTCCATTCAGGTATAGATGGGGAGCCCTGATGAAAAAAAAAATGCTGTTTCTAAAAAAAAAACCGACCCTACAGGCCTAGTATTATATTGGTAAAGCGGGGGTATATTACTGGTGAACTTCCAGATACGTGTAGTTCATTGTATGCTTCTTCTTCCCTTTTCGTGCTAACCTCACTAGTTTGAGGGCTCCAGCACGGTGGGGGTAGGGGTTTTTGATAGAGGTGATCGCGAATGTATAATGTAAATGTATATGTAAATGTATATATATGTTGTGGTATATGTGTTGTGGTCTGCAGCTCCTCAATGGACAGGGGCGCCACTCCCTGTCCGCCACCCAAAGCAGGGTGGCGGTGAGTACCCGTAACTGATGTTCAGAACTACACACTGTTTATGGCATTTTAAAAAGTCACTAGTGTTTTAGCTCTAACAATGTTTTCCGGCATCTTGTTCCACTCCTTTTCTGTTCTGGGGAAAAAGGAGTTTAAGTGATAATTTACTCTTGAAGCTGGTGGATAAAAGGCCAAACTGTTTTCGGTGCGAGAGGGCGCTAGTAGACGCTTACTGTCCAGTGTAGAGCTCCAAATTTTATGAAGCAACTTTAAACTGTCCAGCACAATAAATTGGACTCATTGGACAATAAATTGGACTCAAAATATGACTCTACATTAGACCAAATTATGAATAAAGAGAAATCTTGTCAAGGCTAGAAATTCATTTTGTGAACAAAGGTGCACTAGTGCAGATAAAGTAAAAAGAATGTCAGCCTATTATGTTTCATTTCTAAAACAAGTACTATATCAATGATTTTATTATTTTTCTGACACTTAGATGTTACTTGATTAACGGAAGGTGCCAACACGTATTTTATTTTATTTTATTTTATTTTATTTTATTTTATTTTATTTTATTTTATTTTATTTTATTTTATTTTATTTTATTTTATTTTATTTTATTTTATTTTATTTTATTTTATTTTATTTTATTTTATTTTATTTTATTTTATTTTATTTTATTTTATTTTATTTTATTTTATTTTATTTTAAACAAAGGTGTTACGAATATGCAGGTGTTACGAATAGTTTTAACATCTTAAAATACAAACAATACCGACGACAATATTTGGGTGCACTGGTACACCCACAGAAAAAAAAAAACATTGGGTGTACAGCTCCAAATTTTATGAAGCAAGTTTAAACTGTAATATCCAGCACAATAAATTGGACTCATTGGAATAAGAATCTACATCAGTGCATTACAACCATCCCTCAACAGAGACGGGGGGCGCCACAGACTTTCTGCAACCTATGATCCACTGCTCACAGAGTCACGTGTGTTATCTGCGTGACATCACTTAAGCGTTTGATTGCTCATTCCTTGACAAAGGCTGGAGTTGTATAGTCGAAAATTTGGATGCGTCCAATTTTTGTATTGGATATTACAGTTTAAACTTGCTTCATGATGATTTCTAGCAACACGGATGAACTTTCAAGATAAGCTCCAAATTTATGGTGCACTAAGGTGCAGAAGCACGCAGTATTTTGAGCCTTGCTTGTGACATTCATTTTATTTTATTTATTTATTTTACCAGCAAAATACACTCAGGTTACATTAAAAAAACTTTTTCAGGTAGTGCTGGGCATACAAAATACAAATAACTGACAAACGTTATACATTACAAGAAAAAAACGACATAATTCAAAATGACATACAACAAAGGAACTCACTCATTTTTCACTATACATTCATAGCATCACAATTCCTGACTGAATTGTACCAGCCCCACTGTCTGACGTTGTTTAAGAGACAAGTTATTCCACAGTTGGGGGCCGTAGAATCTTAAGCTCCCCTTGTAGCCGTTCAAATTTGCTACGGGGCAGTTCAACAGATACGGGACCCAGACACACCTTGTTCTGCTTGTGATGTACCGGAGGTGAGCCTGTCCCCACCACCAGCTCGGCGTCTCCACTACCCATGTCCTCCCAGTGAGAGTCTCCGGGCGGGGACACCGGGTAGTACTGGGATATGTAGTACCGGTGGGAATTCTGTCAATAAATAATAACCTTTATTGTACATTATCATATAGACGGATGACGTTGACCAATCAGAAGGCTCCATTCCACATTCCTTATGACGCCGTAATGTCACAAATAGAGTCAAAATCGGGTATTATTCATCCAAATCCATACATTAACAACCCAATAATCACCCGCATATGACCTCAGGTGACCCAATAGAACACCTGTCCCCTGCCTGTGACCCAGATAGAAGACATAGAACGTGAACTCTACCCAGTGACCTCAGGTGACTCCAGATGGAACTATGTTCTATTCAGCATGTGCAACCGGTAAATTGTACATTGTGTCACTTACTGCATCAGTTTGGATAGGCTATCGTGTAAGCTATATGATAATAGCGTTAATTGCCCGCCCTTTCTCGGTGAATATGGTGTGATAAAGCCTTGTCAGTTGCTAAAACCACCTCATAAAGCCACCTCGTTCGCTGCGCTCACTTGGTGGCTTTATTCGGTGGTTATAGCAACTGACAAGGCTTTATCACACCATATTCACCTCTGGGCGGGTCATTAACCCTTAATTCATGCCTGTAGGGCTAAGTACAGGTGAACAGATTAAAAGGTAATTTACATGTTTGTAGTACAAACAGCTCTAAAACTACATTAATCATCATCATCATCTTCGCCGCTGTAGTCATCTGTCGACAATGCGGGCCTCCACCGCTTTCCACTGTCTACTGTCCTGTGCTGTCCTTCGTGTAGTCCATTAATACAGAGGTTCGTCTTATCATTTCTTTTTTACAGGATGATCAGTATAAGAAAGATATTTTTTTTAATATTAGTCAAGTCTTGGAAGTATGGAAACGTACTTGTAATATATCTGAAAAAAATATTTATATCATTACTATATAAACTACAATCAGCGACAAAGTGAACTTCATCTTCTACTTTGTTTGAGCTACAAAATTGGCAGATTCTTTGCTCCAGAGGTGTGCGGTTGTGCCTTCCTGTTTCGATGCTGAGTTTATGACAGCTGATCCGTAGTTGGGTGATGGTGGTTTTTGGACTTTCGTCTGGGATTTTAAGATAATGCACTTCATTATAAGTGGAATTGTCAACGAAACAGTCTTATCACCAGATGTACACTGCAAATAAGATACTTAGCCAAGTGTAATAACAGTACGATTAAAAAAAGGATTTTGAAACTCCACTTTCATTACGACGTTTTTTTTTTCGATATCACAAATATGGAGGTTGGACAGTAATTCTGTTCTCCAAAGCACCAGGCATGGAGCCTTTATTTCACGTGATCCAAACAGTGTTCAAATTGTAGTTTTTACTTATGCTTTATCCAAGACCTGTACTTAGCTTATAATGTCTATTGTAAGTGCCGGACAAGCGAAGAAATAGTCCAGTAAGAGCAGCCCATTTCTCTATACAGTCCCTGTCAAGACCTTCTCCCGACCAACGACCAAGGTTGCCTGAAGTTTCAGAGCAGCCTGACCTAATAAGCTACACCTATTTAAGGCAAATGTGACACTTCTGACCTACTCCCGAACAACAGCCAACCAGTAGCCAAACACGGACCAACCTCCCGACGTCGCTCGAATGTTTTTAACAATTAGCCATAGGCGACAATCCTCCCTGAATCTTTAAATTTTGCAACAAAATTAATCCCAAGCGTCAACGCCAGACCTACTGTGCAGACATTAGGCAACGGTTAATACAATGAGGGCGCGTCACAACCATAAAACATAAAAAGACCTAAATCCATTACTGCTTCCAGGGCGTGTAAAGATACTGTACTTCAAGTTCAAATTAAGTTCATTTTGATTACACTCACAAACACAATAATTGCATTCACATAAAGATCGGACTATCATTGTAGTTTCACTACTAACAAAGACATTCCCACCGCCTTACCGTTCCTGTTATACCACTTAAATTGGGAATTCGTATCATAAGCAAATAATCTGAAACAGTTGCCCGACATACAGTAAACAGTTATATTGAGAATTATCTTAAATCATTCAAGCACAACAATATGACTTGCTAACATGCAGAACTCCAGCCGTACCTGCTGTATAACGGGCCGTGCCGTCTGCGGTGTGTGTTTCTTGGTGACCAGTGTTGGAGCGGGGGTGGTTTTAGGTGAGTTCCGCCGCGCTCTACCCATCGTCGGCTCAACCGCAGATGCTACATAGAGAAGTGAAAAAAGTCAGTATTAAGACTGAAAGACCTTTATTGTACATTTTTGCTCATTGCGAACTAAGTACAGGTCAGACAAATAGCATTGGAAACCAAAATATATCTCTAGTAAGGCTACATATGTACAGGTTCTGCTTCTTCTCGTTTCTTAAGACAGTTGTAAGGCCATGTTGATTTGATTATATGGATGACATCCTCCGGGAGCCCCAAAACTGATGCGCGCGTGCGAATAAAAAAAGTTAAAAAAAAAAAGTTATTTTCATTATGAAATCTACGTGGTCATGAGGGTTGAGCAAATGGCACAGAATATGGTTTGGCGAATAATCTAGTCTTCAAGCTCATTTCTTTACAATTTCGTCTTTTTTGTTTGATTTTGGCATTCTACGACATTGGTATAGTTTTATTAATTTTTTTTGTAACTTATGGTATATTTTTTGCTCATTTTGCAACTGTTTTGTACAATTTACAGTATGGTATTTTTTTTTGGAAACGGCCGAAAATTCATGCGCGCGAGGATGTCATCCATACAATCAAATCAACATGGCCTAAATGTAAGAACAGATGGAGCTTATGTATTGTATATATTTATATGATTGATTGAGTTTTCTGAGGAATGTGGATTTTTCTGTCTAAAATTCTAAAACTAGGGAAATAATCTTGTATTTAATTGAAGAGAATCTTTCATTATTATATATAGTACAGTCCAGGATAAAATGAATCTCGTCTTCAATCTCATTTAGGTTACAGTAATGATAAATTCTTTGTTGTAGAGGAATGTGGGTAAGTAACAGGTATGAACTGGCAGCCATAGAGATGAAGCATGAAGCCCTATAGTCGGCTTATATCAGGTGTCTAAACTTAATTCAGTTGAGCATCTCACTCTACAATACCCAGTTACACTGCCAAAAATTGAGCTAGCTATATATAGTCCGTGTTTTATTGGGTCAAAAGTTTTAATGTACGTCACAGTGACTACTAAATACAAATTCATATGAATATCCATGGTATTCTGGCCCGAAATTCTACACACAGCAGCAAATAATGTATTGGACAGTTTGATTGACATATATTGATTAAAAGAACTGTTATGTATTACAGTGGATACTAATTGTTTTCTGCAAGTGTTAACCCTACCTAGACCGGGGGGGGGCTAAAAGTGCCCGCGGCAACTTTGCTGTCACCTAGCGTCTGAACGGCTAGTCGTAGAACGGCCAAACTTGGTGACTTTTCCTAGAATATTGTTGGCAACAATTATCTATCATTGGAATAAGATAAGAATTTTTTGTGTTGCCATGGCAACGGGTTTCTGACAGGTATTTTTTGCTAAATTTAGTACTTCTTGTTTCAACAATAAAATTTTATGGGTTTTATGTCAAGTTACTCATGGTTTCTAATATTAATAACATCCCATATAATTTTATGTAAATTTTATCATTAAATATGCATAATTTATGCTAATTTGATGACGTCATTGGCCAAAATCCAAGATGGCGGACCATATAATCAGAACAGGTATATACAGGTTATTTTCATTAAAATTTCATCAATACTTCCATTTCTTTTTCCAAAAAAGGTTTAAATGAAGGTCTTTAGTATGTTTACAATGTATTTTAGGCTTTTTCATGAAAAAAAACTATTTTTGAAAATTCAAGATTGATGATCCAAGATGGCGGATATCTTAAATATGCATGACGTCATTTTATGACGTCACCGGTGTTGCTATGGGCAACATAAGACTTAGTACACCATAATATTCTGTCATAAACACTTTTGGTACAGTTATGTTGAATACCATTTAGTTTTCAGGGAAAAACTTATTTAGACGGTTTTGGCCAATAAAATCACATTAATGACGTCATAATGACGTCATATTACGTCATAACGACATAAAAATTGTAGATATGATAAATTTTTACTAGTACACCATTCTCTGAAAATTTGGTGGTCATACGACATACCGTTCGCGAGTTCTTAGGGGGGGTCAAAAGAGCCCCCCCCCCGGTCCCCCCATGTCAAAAAAAGCCCGGTCTAGGTAGGGTTAATCGATATCAATGAAAATAAAATGGAACATTCCGAATAACATATGTAAGAAAGGTCGATCAAGTTGAGTGCCAGTGTCGTCATCTTGTGTGTATCTTTTTACCTTTTCATAAAAAAATGTTATGAATATTCCATATTTGTGAATTTTACCATTTCCAAAACACTAAATATCTAAACAATTTATTCCTATTAGAATGCTTATTCATACCAAATATGGAATTATTTTTATGCATCAGTTCCTGAAAGTATTAAAAAAAGGAAAGTGTATGTCCAAAAACTGCGAACACCCCCATTTTGGGGCCAGAGGGGCGAATTGGCTGAACATGACTTATACAGTACTTAATGCTGTAGGCGTACATCCCAGGCTTTTATCATCAGAATTGTTAGCATTATCTTACCCGGGAAAATCACAAAGATTCCATATGAAATACCCGGCAGCACGATGCAGACCACGGCACCATGCCCTGTAAGTAACGCCTGTATTGATTGCGGGTTGAGGAAGGTATCTGATAGCAAAGATGGATTCAGTGTAGCGAGACCGAAAATCCCTCTCAGCCAAATTTCACGCCAAATCCCTTCTTCACTGCTAATGAAGATATAAATCTATACACGATGTACAGAGCAAACTAATTTTGTTCCGCACATTCCACACGTGTCATGTAATGTAAAGTAATAGTGGACTGAGCGCCCCTGTGTAATATGAAATGCCGTAAGTTTATGCATAGCAGCAGCTATATGCCTTTCCGATAGACACAGAATATCCAGGGTTATAGCGCAGTTAAAGTGATATACGCTCGCCTGAAAGATAAGCGATACTGAAACTATGTTAACCTTTCTTTATCTCGCTGTACGCAATACCCAGAGTTAGATAACAGCTTGCCCTTTAGACGTGCAATCTCTGACTGACAGTATTCGAATTGAGAAGGGTCCATTTTAATACTGTAGATTACTCTTGCGCAGAAGTTATTTATTTTTTCTATATTCCAACATCTAATCACAAGACGTGGTGACGGCACACTCAAGTTTTTTTTCAACTTATATTAATGCCGCCACCAACGCAATTATTTTGGAATGTTCTCATTTCGCTCATTGGTGAGTTTGGAAAATCCACTTGTATGGGGATGTGAAATATGCTGCATTTGCTCGCGAACAAATGTCGGCCTTTCTAGATTCTACTTTTAAATGTAGTTGTAAAACATTATGTTATGGAGATGTTCGTAAACGTTTACTAACGTTGTATACCATCGTTTTGCTATGTTTGAATCGGCATTGATTTATGCTTACCTTCGAAGAGGAAAAAAAATGTTGTTTGAGCTCAGTTTCTTCTTCTTTCGCTAAAAACAAACTGAGTCAATGACCTGGACCACACGTCCGTCACCATGGTAACTTGTACTGTATAGCAACACTCTTTGTTGTTGGGTAACATTATGTAGCAGAACGGAGTTGGAGAGGCTGCTCACTATACACATGAATGTACATGTATTTGGCTTTTAGTAAGAACAAGTAAAATCTGGGGCTTTTTATTGTATATTTTTATATAGGTTTTAAACAAAGAATTTATCGAGACCGGACACCCCTCTGTGTGAGGGGTCATATACGTGGACCAGACCGAGAATAGCTTAAACACGCCATGAAGGTCAACGGTCGCGACCACTTTCACGCTCAAAGGGGTGTTCTGGTGCCACCAAAATGCACCATTTTCACGCCCGAAAACACATATACAATAAAAAGCAAAGAAAGTGCATCATCTGCAGCCCAATAGCAAAACATATACCGAGTCTCAAAAGAATCCGTCCACCCAAACGCGAGAAACAGCTGCGAACATGAAAATCTAAATCTCTCACAAAACCCTTCCGCGGAAGGATGTCTCCTCCCCCAGAGGTAATAAGCAGTGCATTAATTTGCTGACCTAGAGCAGGTAAGGGTAAACATTATGCATTACCTTTGTAGATGTTGTAATTTTCTAGTATATCATGCTAGTATTCTTTTTTATTATTCTAGTATCATAAGTTATATCTATATATCTATATATATCTGGAAAGATATCATTTATATGTAATATTCTTTAGGAATGCATGTCTACAAAAAAAAAGAATGATATGCAAAATGCTTACAGTGAAAGAATTTCAAAGAGCGTGTAAGGTTAATTAAATCAATATCAGGTTCAATTTCCGTGTTTGATCCGAAGCGCTATCCTAATTCTAATACCTCCGTTTCGGTAGGTTAGTCCAGGCAACCATGGTCTTATAACTATGCGTAGCCTGTGAACAGATTGCAAATGAGCACTTTCTAAAATTTGTTTCATGGGCTAAAGAGATTTGCACAATCTGGGTAGAATTATACGCAACTCTCATATGAAGGCATGATGAATATTTGGCTAAGCGACTGGACCATTAAACCATCAAAATCGGTCATAAAACTATCACACTTTGCGCATTAAATATCACAAGTACAAAATAAGGCAAATTAGGCCACAGTAAGTAAATTTTATGGATGACGCAGATTCCAAATCTAATACGAGCAGGCGAAAAAACAAGGCGGGCCGAAAAAAACAAGGTTCCTACAATTCAAAATGTTGACTCAATCATTGCCAGAATCACATATCACTGCATCGAAGTAAGAAACAAAACATTAAATCAGAGCCTTTTCTTATCTCCTATCTTTATAGTTATCTGCCATTCACCTTCCGGCATGGCAACAGGCATCTTTGCCAATTTTCGGCATGGTGACCACTGTCAGAAGGCAACAATTTTTTTTTCAACATCTGACGAAAATTAATCCGCTTGCTGATGTCATCCATAAAAATTACTTGCTTACGTCTTATATACCGTAAGCTCCGTCCCGAACCAATCCAGAAAGTGTCCTCCAAAGCACTTTGTCCCCAGTGACCCTTCGTAGCTCGTCAGTATCATGCAGGTCAACATCACA